ACGGGAAGGCAGCACCTGGCGGCGACCCAGGCAGGACTGCCATAAGTCCTTTCCCTGGTCCCCGACCCAAATTCACTGTCCCCGGCAGCAGACCGGACCAGACACAGCTCCAGTGCACACTGACCTGTTGGCTGGGGACTCTGGATTCTCCCCGAGGCTGGGGGGATGGGTGATTCCGAGGTGCAATGCCCAGATACAGATACCTGGAAAAGTTGGAAAAGGGATGAAATGACTGGATTGGTGAGTATTGAATTTAATTATTCTATTAATTGCTTCCACGGAAGAATAAAGTCAGATATAGATTCTTAGCAAGGGTTGGCTTAATTGAGCAGGGGGGTCAGAGCTGGCAAATAGGTAATTAACTAAGTATTTGGCTATAATGGGATCAGGCCAATCCACGATTCCCCCATGTAGCCCTTTGGGTTGTATTTTGAAAAATTGTAATAGTTCAGAGGCAATCCAATGACTCAAGAAAAGATGAAAAGATGCTGTAGCCAATGGTGTCCGAATTGTAAATTGGCTGGTGGTGAGGTCTGGCCGGCAAACGGATCAGTGAACTGTACTACTATGTGACAATTGATGTTGTTTTGCTGTTGGATAGGCAAATGGGATGAAATACCTTATGTTGGTGCCTTTATGACTTTATATAGAAAGCCTAATATGAGAAGAAAATGCAAGCTAACAGCTGACATGGCGATGCATGCGGCTGCTGAGAGAAAGGAGAGTTGCACGGTCTGTGGCAATAGAAAAATTGCGAGGGGAGAGAAGCAGGAGGATGGACAATTACTGGTCCCAACAGCCACACCTCCTTAAAAAAATAACACTGAACAGTCCCCAAGTGATTCTAGCTCACCATCAGGCAATGAGAATTTCAGCACCATTTCCAGTTGGGACTAGAGGACGTACTCAACTGGCTGTTCAGGCTCCCTTTAGACAAGCGGTGGGACTGGAAGGATTGCCGGGTTTTGTACGTCTTCCATTCAATACCTCTGACCTGTTAAATTGGAAACAATCTGTTGGATCCTCTAGGGGAAACCCTGAAGGCATGCACCAACTGTTAGAAACTAGAATGTTAACACATAATCCCAACTGAGGAGATGTACAAGCTCTATTAAGTACGCTTTTCACGGCAGAAGGAAAGAGAACCATTATTGAAAAAGCCAGAGAAGGCGAGGGAGAAGGAATAGGCAGGATGGCTCTGAGAATTTTCTGCCTACCAAAAGGGACCCAGAATGGGATCCTACTACAGGGGGAGAGAGAGCTCAAGTGAAGTAGTATCCGCAATTGATACTATATGGGCTTCAGCATGTAGTGCCTAAACCAAAGAATGTGTCTAAACTTCATGAAGTAAGGCAGGGTCCAGAAGAAAATCCATCAGCCTTTTACAAAAGGCCAGGTGAAGTAGCTAGAAAATGGACGGATTTGCATCCAAGCTATGAGGCAGGTCAAAGGATGTTCAGTGTGTTGCTTATTGGGCAGCCAGCTCAGGATATAAGGAGAAAGTTGCAGAACGTTGATGGAGCAGGGGGATAGAAATAGCACATAAAGTATATAACAATTGGGATGAGAGAGAAAGAAAAGAAGCAGAATAGAATGAAGTTGCAAACATCTCTGTTGGCAGCAGCAATAAATGGGAATAATATTAGAGGGAGAGACGGGGGAGGAGGGAGAGAGAGACACGAGGTGGAATAATGAAGGGAAGAAACACACAAAACCGAACTCTGTTGGGGCCAAACCAATGTGTGGTCTGTAAACAGAAGGGACACTGGAAGAAAGAATGCCTTAATTGAAAGAGGGTAGAGGAGCAAGGTCATGTAGGAGATGCTAACCTTAACATGTTAGAGGATTCAGGCAATGAATGAAGGGGACTGGGAGAAAAACATCTCCCTGAATGATTCCCCTATTTCCAGTTCAGCTCACTATCTGTGAGGTGATCTGTTAATTACCTACATCCACTCTGCACACACAGAGTGTTTGATCTTTGCATATCAAATAATCTGAAAGCTGGGACGAGCTTTCATCATATATAAATATCTATGAAGTGTGTCAGAGAAGTAGGGGAGAAGGTGCAACTCAAAGGAATCTCCCCGTATCCGCTGTTTCCATTCAAAAGTCTGTCATAAGAAAAGTACCACCACCGTCACTTTCAGGTAATATTTAACCTAAACAATTTTCAAGCATTCTGTATTACAAAACAGAAAATGATACAATTAATGGAAGAAGTAAAAATGCTGGCATCACTTTGTTTCCACATTAATACATAAAAATGGACAACACAGTAAATAAACATTTTGTTATTAACAATTAGAAATATTAACACCAAAAATCATGTATAAATTAGGAAATAAATGTACAAACTATTTCCAAAGTGCTCTTTCAAATACATTATATACACAACATTCAAGAAGTTCTTAATGTAAGACATTTCAGATTGATGTAATGTTGCTGTTTCGTTTTAAGTGGTGTTCGTATTCTCTCAAAAGTATTTCAGCACTTTCAAAAACCACATAAAAGGCATATTTCCAAGCTGGCAAAGAGCAATATTGCATTCTTCTGGCTATCTGTAATATTAATATATTGTAAAGAGACTCTTGCTTCTTTTCTGTTCCCTGCTATTTGAGAGTACGTATTTGCATGAAAACACCAGCAGGAAAGATGAGAGAAATGATGACTGACTAAAAAAATGTCTTCTATTTTATCAATAATTAAAATTATTAATGTAGCAAGGGCAGTGCTTGGGCAAGATTTAAGAGTAAACTCTTCAGCTGTCCAGTTAAAGACTTCCCTGTACAGGGGAAAAAAAAAAGTAATTAATTGAGAGACATTTTATCTCCTTGTGGTCTTGTTTTTTCAAAATACGAAGTACTAGAACTCAAAATCCCATAAATACACCAGTTCAGCCAAAGAAAAGGAGAAAGTCCTACAGAAGGTGTGTTTATATTGTAAATTTGCAATTAATCTTGTATCAAAAAACGCTCATGGAGTATGGTCATCCTAGCCTTTTGCCTCAGAGAAGTTTGGACATGGAAATTCATTTAGCACTTACATCAGCACTTTATAAATGCTTTTTTTCAGCACTTTATAAGAACATAAAACTGAATAGAAGTGACTTAACATTGTTCATACTGGCTTTTACATACCACTAGTTTTTATTTCTAAAATCTCTCTCTATCGGTGTTCTCTCACTGGTTGACTCCATTTACAGTTCCTCTCTTTATATGCATAATATTTTCTCACAATTAAAGCTGAATTTAGTTGCTTATCTGCAATAAAGACGGATTTTTTTTCTTTTACTGCTGAACTATTTCTGTCAAGCTACAAGAAAAAAATAAAAGTGATGATGAGCTGTAAGAACAGTTGACCAAAAGATGAGGACAATATTTATGGTTATAATGCTTGCTGGAAAATCTGAGCAAGGGCAACGGAACAATCAGAGATAAAGGAGGATGCCAGCCACCTGCTTGTGAAATTTGGCATGAAAACATATACGTGAGTTATAAAATTGGAATAGCATATTTAAGACTGGAGTTTTGCCAGGTGTTTTTCTGAGCTAAGCACAATATGAAGCAATATTGACATCTAGGAGGCTGACGCTGCAGATCTCAGAGCTCCCTTCTACTTTTCTTTCCACGACAGAAATACCTTAGTTTACATGGATATATAAAAGGTGCCTTTAGTGATTAACATTTCCTTGAATACAGGTTTTGAACCTCTTTCTGTACCTTCTAAAACAAAAATGTGGACTTATGCAGATTACTGAATTGCAAGACGTGGGTAGGTAGGTATTACAGAAGTTGCAGTTGATTTTATTTTTATCATATAACATAGAACTGTCTTCATGTAAAGAATGTATCCATCCTCTTATTCTTAAGAAGCAAAGTTAAGAGCCATGGATTTCAGAGGCTGCCAGATAATCTTCAATGTGTTCAGTTAAAAAAAGCTCAGTAACCCACCACAGGACAGCTCCCTGGACTGGGATATGACTGAATGGCTTTGTGTTGAGCCAGACTGCAGAGGAACCTGGCTGTTTTCCAGAGCGGGGCACAACCGTGATCCAATGATCCTAAAGCTATTTAGAAACATCAAGAATGGGGGTAAATGAAAAAACTTCTGCGTTGTATCAACATACAGTACTATACACAGCACCAAATATCAAACCATTAAAGCATTGTCTTGTTACCAGTAGTGCACTGCTTCATATCCAGCATGAAATGAACACTGTTCACATACAGACGCTGCTTTGTGCTAAGGGGTAACCAACATATTACAATTAATCAAAACTGCCTGTACATCCAGTTCAAAAATGGAGATACTGTTGAAATGAATCTGACACAGGACCGTATTCTTTTATTGCTGGTAATTTCCATATTGTCCCTATAAAAAAAAAAAAGAGAGAAATAAAAATGTTGGAGAACAAAATATCAGGAGTTTACAAACAGCGAGTTAGACAATTTCTTTTGGTCTGTGAATTTTCAAAGACCCACTGAAGTACCACCTACATCAAATGATCAGATAGATTTATATGTGGAGCTAACAGCTACATCTGCTTTTTCACAGCAGGGATTTCAACAGTTTACCTGCTCGTAGCCATAGGGCCTCTGCTGCTGAGCGGATGGGCCTGTCTGAGAAGCTCTGTAACTGCCATATTGCTGCCCCTGTCCCTGTTGGTAGCTGGAATACTGTGAGGAGGCTCCTTGTGCAGGACCTGAGAAGACAGTGAAATCTCTTAGTAAGGCTTGTTTTGCTGGGGGAGTTCTGATGGTTGACATAATGTGAAAACATGACAGTAACAAAGTCAGCTCTGCGAGTATGAACTGCAGACCTCCCCTCTAGCTTCACACTAGAAAGCATCAATACTAATAGTGATGTAGTTGCAGCAGTGTAAACCTCAGGTTTTAAACTTTGCTCATAAAATTTCATATACTTTTAAAGTGATTTGCCTCTCTGAAATCTGTCTTGGTACAGCTCAATTACCTATGTGCAGGTTACCTGGCCTTTACTTTAGTAACAATTGCACATTTCATAGAATGGTTTGGGTTGGAAGGGACCTCAAAGATCATCCAGCTCCAACCACCCTGCCATGGGCAGGGACACCCTCCACTACTACACCAGGTTGCTCAAAGCCTCATCCAACCTGGCCTTGAACACTTCCAGGGATGGGGCATCCACAACTTCTCTGGGAAACCTGTCCCAGTGCCTCACCACCCTCTGAGTGAAAAATTTCTTCCTTATATCCAATCTAAATCTACCCTCTTTAATCTGGGTATTATTTATAAAGAGAAGAATTTATCTTCCTCTTTAATCTGGCTATGCCACCATAAGCGCTGCAAACCAAGCAGAACCTAAGAAATCTCTTGCATGTAGAGATGCTTTCAAAAAACACTTAAATCAGACACACAGCTGCGTAGGGATATTGATTTCCTTTTATTTGGGACTGTATATTCTGCATACAGACTGCTACGTGCACTTACTTTTTAGCATTATTGCTGGATTTTTATGAAAAGGAATCTTTAAAAAGAGGGGGCCAGATTTTAACATCATAAACTGAATTTTGGGCTTCATTTCACAGATGATGTCTGGTTTGAGTAGTCCAAACTATATACTAGTAGTGCAGAGTCAGGTGTTAATAATTTAATTAACTTCTTAGGCATGTAGGTTCTATTTCATGGTTACATTTCTAAAACGGACTGGTGTTTATCTCAACATCAATTTATCAAGTTTGGTTAACTTTGCCAGATCAAGGTCAAGTACGATCACATTTGGAACATGCACCAGCAATCGTTTGCCTTGAAGCTAGTATTTAGATTATTCCAGTCTCTCCGGCCCCTGTTCTTGTACTAAATAACCTGAAATGTTTTCTTTCTCCCAAAGACTGAGGATACATACAAGCTGCCTCCAATCAGTCAGAAAATGCAAAGACAGCCATCAAACTCGGATTCGTTTGATGGCAGCGGGGAGATCTGTCACTGGTGACCTGAAGGGTACAAAAGCCCTGCACCAAGGTAGCTCCATCTTCAAAGCACTTTCACTTTTTTCCTTTCGCCTCAGTCCCTCACCAAGGAATATAATCCACGTGATGTTGCAAGAAATCTAAGTGAGGGAGTAGTGATTCTCTGGACTGTTGATATCATTTTTTCACATCAGCTGCAGAACTATTAGGTGTGTAAGAGGCCTGAGAGCCCAGGCAGTCACCTCCTGCCAACACTCACCACGAAGCCAACGTGAGGCAAAAAGTGTCATTTCTAACTTTCCTTCAGAAGACAGAGGGATTCAGGATGCTAACATAAGAATGTGGAATGCAGTGCTGTACTAATGTATGGGAATGCCCAGAATCCCTTCTCGAGCTGTGCTCTTTGGCTAGTTTTGGTATGTGGATGTCCAAGGTTAATCAAGTAAAGAGGTTACAGCATGTTTTAGCTTAGGAATGGAGGCGTCAGGATGAAGTATTGCAAACACTTGACCCGTCAGTGGCAGTGTTCTTACCGTATCCTTGCTGTTGTCCTGGGTAACTTTGTTGATTTGGGTATTGCTGCTGGGAATATGTTTGCTGCTGTGCAGCTCCCTGTTGGTATCCTGCCTGCTGCTGGCTATACTGAGAATTTCCTAAAGAGGGAAAAATTGAAATAGTTTGGTTATAGATGAGGCAGGTGTTTCACTGTGCATGCAAATCACAAGGAAAACAAAGGTCTAAGGAGCCCTGGTCTGGAACTCTTAGACAAATCCCCTTTTCAGAAACAGGCGATTGAATTTTGCCAATCAGGATGTTCATTTCCTCAGTGATTTTTAGTTCTTTTGAACAGCAGAGTTGTTTATTTATACACATCACTAAACAAACCAATCCTGTTCCCCAAAGGATTCTTTTTACCCCAAGAAGTGTTTCAGAAGGAAAACACAGTCACAAAGATAAGGGTGCCAGGGTAAATAGCCAGTTTCTCAAGAAGCCCTCCCACTGTGTTTTCTTCCCGATAATGATGCTTATTCCTAGATCCCAGAAAGACCAGTTAGTTGTCACTGGTAGTTTTTGAAATACCTATGATCGAAATTCCATTTGCAGTATCCTGAAACAACAAAATGAAGGGAAACTATACAGACTCCGTTGCTTTTCCTAAATGCCACCTCGCTGTATCATAATTAAGTTAACATTTTGCAGTTAATTTCGAGCTCAGATATCTTAATAGCATCGGTGAATTTTCTGACGTGCGGACATGTTGAGGGTTTTTTAGTGGTAGAATTGCAAACTCATAGTATTGGTGATTTTCAAAGATTAGTTTCATTTAACCCATTGTTTTTCACAATTTCTAAGGTGAATTAAGTAAGATTAAAAAAACCCCAACCTGTTCCTGAAATTAACCAGTAGGCTTTCTTACTTTAGAGAAATTTCCATTTATGGCTACCATTTTTTCCAGCTCTGAACCCCATTTCTAACTGCAGCACATTAGTTTACCTTTGTCAGCACAGCCTTTTACAGCCATTTTTATTTGCATTATACAAAATGTTTGTTAAACGGTTTTGTAAGAGCGGAGGATACTGATATGCTGACAGTCTTTTCTGCGAAAAAAGTTCAATATCCATAGCTATAATTCCACGTGGCTCAGCTGCAACCGAGGATCATTTTTCTAAGGAGTACAAGGCTACGCAGGAGTCATTAGTGATCCCACCAGGCTGCACAGCAGGACTGCCTCACAATACAGTTACGGACATGATACGGTGCATACAATTTGATATAGCCTTGGTATAAAAATTGCTAGACATCACTAAATTCAACTTCCTGGACGCTCCTTAAGTTACAGCTAAGTAGCAGTTAGTGATGCAGAAATTGCAAGTCAAATTTTACATTTTCATAAGCATTTCATTAGTATTTTAGGGGATCAGAGCTTTGGTTTACGAAGATTGCAAATATATTTTCCTACCTCCTTCATAATAGTGTTGTGTAGAGTCATCAAATGACCTGTCATAGCTCTGCTCAGTATAGGATGACTGCTGATAGGCATAATCCCCATGTCCTACAAGGAATTGCAGAGATTTATCAGACACTATAGATACATTGTTAGACGATATATTACGAAGCTGCTTATGCACAAGGATGAGGCTAAAAGGAAATACAGACCGCTTGGATAAGAGGTCAAATACACGGCAAGGAAAGTCACACCTGTGCATAAACCTCTTGCATTTACTAATCAAACCTTGGCTTCGTGCTCTTTTTGAAGCAGTTTGGATAGCAGGATGCACTGATGTGTGTGTCTGTGGACCGGGCTCCCACAGCCTGGGATTGGAATTTTCTAGCGTTTTCATTGGAAATGAACCGTAATGGGTTTGCCACGTCCTTGGACATGGCA